ATCTTTCTATTTCGCTCTACCTCTCCTTGTCTCTCTACTCTCTCTATGGATATGTGTATGTGTTTGTTTGTGTGTGTGTGCGATTGTTTGTATGTGTGTGTGTGTGTGTTTTGTAATAGTGTGTTTATTCGTTGTTGTTTTTTTCTAATGTTGAATTCAACATTTTTTCGAAGAACTTTAACAGAGAGAGATTTACCTCATGACCTAATGTTATACGTATCACTTAGCACAGAACGGACTTAATTCAAGCAAGATGAAACCAGACATAAAAGGAATGCTCATAATATGTGGGGAACATTTTTCGCCTCATAATTAAGTGGTAGCCAGCCAGTGGTTTTGATCCATCCACAGTTGCTTACCAATTCACTGAGGCTGAATGTACCAGGTGACCAGAAAAAAAGTTCGTCCACAGACAGCCGATAAGACCGTTATGGATGAAAGGACAAACACCAAAGTTTGCAGATACGTGATACATCCATCCGGATTTATTCTGTGTTAATAACAACAAAATATGACAGTTACAAAGTTACAATATATCTTCCAGATACCCCCAATTTTGATTAAAACCCATTCTGACACGCTGAGTGAAATTGACAATCAGGCGTTGACACCGATCGGGAGAAATCTCTTTCATGCCCTCCATGATGGTTTCTGTCAAATCTTGGATGTTTTCGAAGGTTTTACCCCCACACACCTTGTCCTTCCAACACATCAAGTATTGAAAGTCCACTGGACTCCGGTCCGGATCGTTTTGGGTCCAGCTGTGCTCAGTTGGACTGACTGTTCTGTAACCCAAATGGTTGCTGATGCGTTGCAGAAAAACTCTGGCTTTATGACAAGCACCTCTGTCTTGTTGGAAGTACTGGTTTTGTCTCCCTTCATCATCAATAAATAGTTCCAAGCTTCTCCCAAATGTTGGTAGTACGACGAGGTATCGGTCAGACTTCACCGAATCACGGACCACCATAACCTTTTCAAGACCAGTGCGTTGTTTTTACAGGCTGCCTACCGTGTGTTGCTCGGGGCTTAGAATTCGAGTTCTGTTCTTGTATGGACCCAAACCTTTCAAAATCTGAAGCCCTATTCAAAATGGATCTTTTGCTTGTAACATTGTGTTTGTTACAGATATCTATTCTGTATGCCCGCGAGCAAAGAATGCACGACATGTCGATTAGGGAGATTTCGTTTGTTAATATATCCTCACCGCAAAAGCATGACGTACAAGGGTTAATTGTTTTATCATCTTTCCGTTGTGGGGCAGCAATGAACGTTTAAAAAATAAGATCAAGAAAGCTTTAAGCATTTCTTTGAACAAACTTTTTTTCTGGTCAACTGGTACACTATTATTAGATTATTATATGTAATATCTTTTTGTATGAGCATTTTTTATTGTCTGAAAGAATGTTGCTGTCAAAAAGTGCGCACATGATGAATTTGTATGGTGTTAGTATGAATGCGTTTTTAATCTCCTATGTACGCCTTGGGCCCATGCTGTGGGGAAAGGTGGGATACAATAATGCTCTTATTATTATCATATATCATAAATAACGTATCTATATACTTACAAAAAATTAGGACTGGGGTCTTAGTTCATATCGTAGAACCTGTGCCTTTTATTTCTAGTCTGTCTCCACCCAAACCCCAACCTTCCCGTCCTTTTCCAGGAAGTGACAGCTTCATCAACAGTAGTGACGTCAATCAACAACCGTTCCGACGTTTCCAGTCCTCTCACAGCTCAGTGACCTTGACCTATAACAAGCTGGAGGTCGAAGAAGGAATCCCTCCAAGGATCTTTGCCTGGCTCAGGGCGCGAGCTCGTTTACCAGGTGCGACTTTTCCTTAAAGTTTTTTGAGTGTGCTATTAATACATTACTAATGATATGTAGGACTGGTTGTAATAAAATTATATGTGAGGCAGCGTAGTGGAATCCGGCTCTCGTCAAAATAATCAAAATGAAGATACTTGCATTTTCCAGCAGGTTTGTGAATTACAATTTTTTATATTTTTTTTTTGTCTCAACACCTTTCATGCTCATTAAAGAACTCATTTCTGTGTGAAATTTTCTGAAAAACGTTGATTAAAGACACAGAAAATGTGGATTTTAAGTTACCACGGACTCTTAAGCTAAGGAAACAACTAACCTTTAGAGGCCATTTTCCCACTAATTTTACTTCTGAAAACAGGTGACCCCCACCTCCTTCTTTTGTAAATATCTCAACTTGTGTTCGAGATAAATGGATACTTTTTTCATCCAAATAAAGACAAGTGAACAAGCTTTAAAATGATACCAATAACTCTACATGCCCAAGAACTGACGAGAGCCTGATTCCACCACGCTACCTCACATATGTAGGACTGGTAGTAATAGAATTAAATTATTCCAATCGTATGTGCTCCCCTGCTCCTAAGAGTCTTTTACCGACTTTCTCTTTTCCTCTTTGTACTAGGGCTAATGTTTTTGTCCATAGCAAGTTGACACATTTTTAGGATGTGATTTTCTGTGGCAGCGACTTTGCTGGTATTAAAGTCCTAAACAACGGTGATAAGAAGTGTAGAAAATAATAAAATGCAGATGTGATAAGAATATCAGCAGCTGACGAAATAGTCTTTAGAGATATGAGAATAGGTTCCTGCAATGGATAAAAGTGACTATATTTTAGTGAGGCTTTTTT